GGGGGGTTGGGCGGGGTGGGAAAGTCTCAAAAGTGCTGTTGGGTTCTGAAGCAAAAGAAGAGCAAGAAGAGGAAATAGAGGTGGAGAGGGTGAGAAATGGCATGGCATTTTAGGGTAATGTAATCAGGATCATCTCAGGATGACTATAAACCTTCATCGAATCAAGTAAGTAAAAGGTCAAGCCATTTGTCTTTGCCACTCATTGCAGGATTTATGTTTGTATGTAATAATGAGTGGATTCCAACTGTGCTGTCTCTCCTAGCTTGGAATATATACTCTGTACATTTATTTTATATGCATATATGCACAAATTCATACATTTGCTTTATCTGTCACATGTGTTTCAGCATTCATCTGCAACCATAACAGCTTTTTAATATATGGGTCTCTGGAAGAACCCACGTTAAAGAACTGGTCTCGAGTCACACATGTGTCTGTGTCACTTGCTGTTGTTATCAGTGTAGTGTTTGCTGCATGTGGATATATGACTTTTACAGGATACACAGAAGGTAAACTGCTTGATCCCTCAATTTTGGTGCTTGCTGTGATCCTTAAATTTCCACCCTTCTGTCTGACTTTTGCTATTTATGTCTTAGTGATCGTAAAAATGTCAAAATCATACTATGTTTGGACAGAAATAGTTAGGAGATTCCCTGTAGATACCCAACAACCCAAAACGGGATGCCAATAGGTGTGAAATCCCAAGTGTAAGCCTCACCTGTGAAAGTTCCCTTTGAATACTTCCATAATCAAAATACTTCTGAGAACTAAACATCTATAAAATTTAGCCACATCGTCCAGTAGCAGATAGCAGTAAGAACAAAAACTGCCTTGATTATTCTACAGGGTGCTTGGCATATATTTCTGTACATTCTCATGTTTCTTTTCCTGTTTGTGCTAATACCTCTAAATCAGAGCTATGATGCTGTATTTCCTATCTTTACAACAGCTGTTCTGTAACTATTCCTACCATCACCTCAGTGTGTATATGAATATACATATAGGTATAAATATATATAATCAATGTTACATCGTACGATTTAACATCATTTTGTTGATGTTGTGGAAAAGGTACTTTCAGAAGGACAAAGCATAAATTTGTTCATTAGCTTCTTCAGGAAAAATATACATTTCATAACCAAGCAGATTTTCTGGTTTTGAGTAGTGCTGCTCCAAATTGTGGGAGAAGGCTTCTAAGCTTTTTCCTTTCTTTATGAGCAGCAGTGTGTAGTTGAGAACAGAGGAATTGTTGGATGGGGTTTACTGGTTGATCTGTCTTTTTTTCCTGCCTCCAGTACTGTTTATGCAGAATAACTTCCTGTCCTAGGTGCAACTTCAGCTAGACTAAATGCAAACTGGCTGAAATATTTCAAGTATAGAAAGCTCTGACTGCAGCTGTCTCTCAGCATATGACTCTTCTGTAATCAGGTTCCATCTTACCTTCTGTCTCCCCTATCAAAATCTTTTGGCTCTTTTCTCTAAGTACACCTTCATTGTTTCTTCAGTACCATTGTGAACCTAAAAGTAGTAAATCATAGGACAGTAGAGTAATTGGGTAGAAAAGACCTGATAGACCATCTTATCACTGTCTTACAATGTCTCTTGTGCCTCACTTATCATTATTCCGGGTTCTTTGCAGTGAGCACTAAGATGATTATTTAAATTCTCTAGCAATGCTTTTATTGTTAGATGTAAGAAGGTTTGCTAGGTAATAATCCGTAGGTTTATAATGGGCTTTTGGGATCAGGATATTTGAATTTTTTCACTGCAGCTTGCCAACTATGATTAGATACTATCAGGGAAATGCAGTTCTCCAGGGGTAACTCCCTAGTCTTCCTTGTGTAATTGTTGTTCTAGGAATTACATTTTTAAAGGAAATGTATCTTTTAGATACATGCTTTCTGAATCTGTCACATATTTATTTAAACAAACACCAGCATCTCATAGAAAGTCTGTTCTAAGAGATGAGATGAGATATGGCAAACTGTAATGTTGTTATCCTATAATGTTAAAATATTTTTGAAAGATAAATGGTACTTGAAATAAAAATGATGCTAGTGGTAAGATAAGGTGAAAGTTCCTCCTGGATGTAATTTGTGACTGTAACTGCAGTTTCTTGATACATGTCAAGAGAGGGGATCAGAAAGTCTCAATTACTGCAGTAACTCCAGTAACTTACACTTCAGTTTGCAAATAGGCAAATGACAGGAAGTTCAAACTAATTGATGTTTTTCTATGCCTTAGGAGATATATTTGAAAACTACTGTAGAGATGACAACCTTGCTACCTTTGGAAGGTTTTGTTATGGAGTTACTGTAATTCTGACCTTCCCCCTTGAATGTTTTGTGACCAGAGAGGTAAGAATTTATTACATTCTCCCTTCAACAATGTTGATATATATTCATAATATTCTCATGTAATTACTACATATTGTAGCAGAAGTCAGTGGTTGACCTGTAACAAATATCAGCATAACCTATTCTGCTGCATGCAATGAGTATGAGGTACTAGTTGTACTTTTCACTTTCTGGCAATATAAGGTGGTGTTACATTTATTACAGTATTATCCAATATTACATTAATAATTATGTAATAATATGAAGACTGCTTAAAAATCCAAGTTTGGTGTAAATTACACTATTTTTACTATGTTGAGAATAGCTAAAAATAGCATATTTATCATGCTTACTAGTTTTGCTTTGTGAAAATATCTCCATGTAGGAAATCTACATGATCAATAAATAATTGTGGGTTTTATTCTGTAGAGGGCAAATGAGAAGACAGTAAGTATACCCTAAATCCTGCAGGTAGAACTAAGTCAGTCTTGCAAGTATTCTGCAATTTTAGTAATGCTTGTTACGAGTCATATTTGGAAGCAAATGAAGATCTTTTCTTGAAGCAAGATAAGAAGATTCAGTCAGTATATTGTCACCCACTCTTTTGGTTTCCTAAGGTTAGAAGGTTTGGAATAAGCTGTCTGTTAGCATAAAGAGCAAAATCAACTTTTAAAATTCTGGTTCTGTTTCAGGTGATTGCCAATGTGTTTTTCCATGGGAACCTCTCAACAGTTTTCCATATTGTTGTGACAGTAGTTATCATTGCTGTGGCGACCGGTGTATCATTAGTGTATGATTGCCTTGGAATAGTTTTAGAGCTGAATGTAAGTGAACCTGCATACATTTTTATTTAATAAATTGGTTTGTTATAAGAAACAAAACTCTGAAAAATCCACAGCTGTACTGAAAATCTTACGTAGTTTGACATAGTAGTCAACAGAAATGTTAGTAGAAAAAAAAAAGGGAATTATTCACTGCTTCAAAAGTGGATAATTAAATGAGAAAGGAAGTTCAGGAAGTAAAGTTCATATGGTTGAGGAGGGCTTTTAGAACAGTTCTGGAGATATGACAAGTGACTGTGACTAGATATGTTTAAACTGCATGGAAATCACTAAAATACTCATCCTAACTGTATTGCAGGACTGAATCTAGAATTTCTTTCTCTAATCCCTGCTTCTGTTGAAGTTGGCAAATTACTGAACACTGGGCAGACTTTACTGTCTGCCTTGTGCCAAAGGGGCAAAAAACAAGGTGGGGGAAAAAAGAAGAATGAATGAACCAGTAGTAGTGGGACCGCAGAAATAGTAGCTGGGATTTTTCCCTGCTTTGGGCTTAAGAGGGAGCAAAACTGAGGAATTTCATAACCTGAGTGTACGACTTGTAGGAGGAAACTGCTTTGTTTGCCAGTAAACGTTCCTGTGTCTGGTATCACCTCATAGGAGAGATGGAGCTTACCACACAGCCACACAAGGCACTTACTGGCTTGAACGACTTTTAACACATTTATGTATCTTTTTTTGGTTGGCTGGAACACCCATGTAGTCCACTAGAGTCCTAGACTACTAGTTAGCAAAGTAGACTTGCCTGATGAACTTAGTCTGTTTTGGCACAGAATGTAAGTTTAATCAAAGGAAATGTTTATTACAAATGTAGATTGGATTTTTTTTTTTTTTAACATTGTTTGTCTTAGCAGCTTGCCTTCTATTTCAGGTCAGCTATCTATAATAAATAAGGCAAGTGTGGGAATATCATATAAAAGTTAGAAGGTGGAGAAAACTTTAAGGGCAGCCTTTGCTTCTTTATAGAAATATTGCCACCTTACATCCCTGTCCATGCACTGATTGACAATTTCAGGCCATACATTGCATGCTTACCTAAAACTGATGGAGTAGAATGGAGAGAGTTGTTCTTTATGGCATGTGATACATGTACTTGTATGTACATTATGATAAATGCTGTGCTCCACAGTGCAGTTGATCTGCTAATCAAGTAGTAATGAGTCATTTTGTAGCAGTGATTTAGGAGGTCTTGCTTGCAGTAATAGTATAGAAAAGGTCTGAATATTCAGATAAGCTACGCAATTACCCTCTATGTAAAATAATTTCCTACATCGTTTCTTCTCAGTTAATCCTTTCCAAATTATAATTAGCTCAAAATGAACAGTATTCCTATTGATTGGGTCAGGATGCATGTTTCCGCTGAAATTTCTTATTCATGGCATTTGTTCTTAATTTCTTTTCCATCTTTTTTCCTTCTGTTTTTACATTACAAGTGCAGAAAATTCACTTGTGTGTGTATATACACACCAATAAAAGCATTTAAATGAGTGTCTATGTACATACACACATGCCTATTCTAGCCAATATGAATACTGGTATAATGACCCCAATTAACTATGTGTGCCCATATATGTCTATATGTGTTTTACATTTATTATGTGGTATAATATGTTAAGAATAAATTTACACCAGAGGTCTGCCAGTGAGTCTTTCTAGCATGAATAAATATGTGTGATTCCTATTTGGAATTGAATTGTTTTAAAATAATCACTTAAAAGCAAACATTCCATCAATGCAATATCTTTACCCAGAGAAGCATAAGCAATTACTCAGTAGTCGATCTGACAGCTTGTTTCATTTGCAAATAGTAGTTCATAGCCAGGCATTTGAGTGGGTAGGTCATATCTTGTGATGGTTTTTTTTTTTCCCTTTGAAGAGAGAAATTGGCAATACAGCTGTACTATTTATTGAATGTAATCACTGTGCTTAAAAAGATTGTTCAGTCTTGATATCCACCAGTAGAGAAAAATTTATAGGCAGAGTCTTTACATGTGAGAGAAAGATGTTCTCTCTTCACAGCAGCCTTTCTTTCCAGGAGAAGAGCTGTCTTTTGGTTCTCCACCACATACGGCATTTGCTGCTGTTTCTCTGGCTCTGCTTAATTTTTCCCTGCTTTCTGGTTTTAAATCAGAACACAAGCCATTGTGTTTGCCCTGTGGTAATTCCCCAGGGAAACCGTTCAGTCAAGGGTCCATGGTTTAGGGTAGACTTGGCAGTGCTAAGTTGATGGTTGGACTCGATGATCTTAAAGGTCTTTTCCCTAAAGGTTCTGTTCCAACCAGAACAATTCTATGATTTTATGATTTTGCTGTGCTGTCCTTTTATGGGGATGCTGGTACCTGTTGCTTCACATGCTTAAGAATCTCATTTTTTGTGAAGAAAATACTTTGTTCATGTACCTATTTTTGATGTCTGTACTGATTACTGTTAACAGGTTCTACCTTAAAAACATACAAAAGTTTGTACATTAATGATATGGAGGTACTCAATAGGCTCACCATAATTATGTTGAAACATAGTGTTTGTTAAGTATGTGGCAAAGTAAATGTTCAAAATTTCTTCATAAAAATGCTGTCTTTTGGCATGTAAATTGTATGTTAATCTGCAGTGGCTTTACTATAAAAGCATTCAAGCAGGTGCTTTTTATCTGTCCCTTTCTAAAAGAACATTTAAAGAGGAGCTCAATTTTTAATAAGAGGGGGAACATTCCATTCTCTCAAAGGGAGATTTGCTTTCATATGGAAATCAGTGCAAATCTGGTCAAAAATGCAGAAATTCATCTGAATTCTTTGAACTGCTACATCATGTTTTCACTTTTTTTTTTTAAGTATTATGTTTAGACTCCTAATTGGAATGATCTTAAACATTTTGACTCAGTTACAGTATTGCAGAACTGTTGTGTTTAGACTTTTACTTCTGAAGCTGAGAAATTTCTGGTAATCAGATTTAATAATACTTGCAACAAAATATTTTTTCTGTGTCAGCAAAGCGAAAGCATTTATAGAAATCTGAATTATTTCAAATAGTTTTACAGATATTTTTTCAAGTTATTTGTGAGTTTGAAAAGATAGTTTTCCAGACAACACTGGAAAAGGCCTCTATTCTCTGACTTTACTGTTGCATCAATCTAATCACAACCTTTAAAAAATTCAGGTTTTTGTTCTTCACATCTAAATGTACATGCTTATGAGGGTTTTTTTCTATTGTTTCCCACACACAGGGAGTTCTGAGTGCTACCCCACTTATTTTTATCATCCCAACAGCGTGTTATCTAAGGCTGTCTAAAGACCGATGGAACCATTCAGATAACCTCATATCCTGCCTGATTCTTGCTGTCGGTGTGCTAGTGATGACAGTTGGGTTTGTTTTGACTATCTTGCATCCCCAGGAATGTAGCCATGGAAAAGAAATGTTCTACTGCTTCCCTAGTAATGTTTCTTTTCACAACAGTACACTTCCACCCTAGGTAGCACGCCAGTCTCAAGGCTAGATCAGGTACATCTCACAGCAAGCCATACATGCCAGTTTAAAGGAGAGTGGAACAAAGAGCTTTTATGTTTTGGTGTGCACTAAGAATTTTTAAACTGTATAACTGTATTTACATACTTGGTTTTATGCTGTCATCCTTTTCCAGATAAGACTTTAGATTTTAGCTGTTGGAACAGAAATTCTCAGAGGTGCCTTTCAGTAGACATTACTTGAATAACTTGAAAACCTAGGCTGCAATTTTTTACTTTAGCCTGCAATTCTGTTTTAAAGCTGTAAATGAAATGTTTAGGAATGTAAACATCTCCTGTGTTTCATTGCTGTCATTTAGTTTTTATTAATTTTATAATCTTGTATATTTATTAGCACACTATAGTATGGGGTTATTCTGAAGTCCTGAAAAAAAAGAATGTCTGGGTCTCTCTGTATTAAACTTCTGCTGTTAAACTGAAAGACTCCTATTAATTCTGCCTTTGATTTTGCAATAACTGGCCCTTAGTGCTGAAAGCATCCCTTTTACTGGCTCTTGAACCAAGGGCAACTTTGTATCCTGACTGAACTGTAACTGATACAATTCAACTGTTACTTTTACAATTTGTGCTCTTCTAATTAAAAGATTTTGCATGACTAAATCCACACAGCTGAATTGTAAAAGATTCCAGTAAATGTTCTTTGTAAAAAAATTTCTAGATTGACAGAGAAGAAAATTGTAAGAAACACAGCTTGATTCTTACGTTTGCAACGCAATTTATTATTTCTGAAAACTTCATTGAAACATTGCAATAGGCCAGGCATGTGCAGCTGGAGCAAATTCTGCAAGAAAACATTCTAAACTTGGTTATCATTGTAGCCCTCTGATTCTTTTGTCATGTTTTGTTAAATTTTGGTGACTTGTTCTGTTCTCTAAAACACATTTAACATCAAGAATTCATGTATATAATATACATATATACATATGTATATATAAAAATAGACACACACACCTGACTCTAGAATATGAGTAATTTGAAGTTGAGAATGAGTAACATGAGTATCCTCTATATCACTGCTGGGATTTTGAAAATATTCTGTTATCGAACTGTGTACCTTGAGTTAGTTTATGTATTATTTTGATCATCTTGGTTCCTTTTGCCAATCACTCCTTGACAACTAGATGTATAATGCTACTCCTTTTTTGTGATGATGAGTTGGTTTTGTCTTCAGTTTGATCTGCATGACAAAGCTGTTTCATTCAAGACTTCTAGCTAAATAGATCTTTAAGCAAGGGTCACTAGATGGTGGTAATACTCATAAGAATAACACACTTCATAAAAGTAGTGCTTTCATAATATTTTAAGTATTGGGTTTTTGGGGGTGTGGTGGAGTTTTTTTCTTTGTTTCTTTTTAAGTTGTAAAGCTGTTAGTGAGAACTGGGAGTGTTATTCTGCTTTAATATCCCTATATAGAGTCAACTTTGAGTTGAGGGTCATAATTTCTGCTGTCCAGGTACTGATACTGTTAACAGAGAATATTTTTCACCACTTTAGATCAAGCAATAGTTGACTTTATCTTAGCTGTGAGTGAGTAGGCACTGGAAGGATTCCCCTTCTTCTAGGCCAAATGATGTTAAACTTAGGTAATATTGCTTCGTGACAGCTAATGAGATCTTTCTGATGAATCGGAAATCTCTCATGAGCTTTTTTCTTCATTTTTTTCAGATTTTTTTTCTTTTTTTAATTTGTTTGTTGAAGTAGGTTACCCTGTTTCAAATATTAGTTATAAGCTATCCTTGCTTTAGAGGGTAAATGGAATATTTTATAGGATGCATTGTATTATTGCCTGTTTGACTTAACAGTTCTGCTGAGGCAGTGTCAATAGTAAATCATGTTTACATGTCCCCTATGAAGGACAAGTCTTTCTATGCCTTTCTACTTTATAAAGGCAGATTTAAAGAAAATTTGTGCCTTTCTAAAGCTTTGTAGTTTGAAAAGTGTAAAGTCTGATGTAGTAATGGTCACAATGTTTTCATTGCTGATAAAGTTGCTTTTGTTCTTGAAAGTTTCTTTTGCGAAAACTAGTTGCATTCACTAATCATATGCTCAGCGGTTTTAATTAATGAATTTGCCAGGTGGTGATGGGAGTCTCCCAACCATAAGTATAGTGAAAAAGGGAAGTCACACATCATAGATGCCAGAATTAACTGCTATTTGGCTAATGGCTTAATAGAAGCCATGGCTCCTTCCTTTCCATTATTACATAGTGTAACTTAAAATGGCAAATAACAATAACCTTCTGTATGTTTTCTTAGGATCTAGGAGGTCTGAATACAGAAAGAAGCACCTTCTTATTTCATAATAAAAATTGTGGTAGTGTAATGGGCTGACCCTGGCTGGAGGTCAGGTGCCCACCAAAACTGCTTTATCATTCCCCTCCTCAGATGGACAGAGGAGAGAAAATATAACTAAAAGCTTGTGGGTCAAGTTTAGGACAGGGAGAGATCCCTCACCAATTGCCATCATGGGCAAAACAGACTCGACTTGCGGAAAAGTTAATTTAATTTATTACCAATCAGATCAGAGTAGGGTAATGAGAACTACAATCAATTCTTAAAACACCTTCACCCCATCCCTCCCTTTTTCCTGAATTATCTACCTCCTCCTCCACAATAGTGTGGGAGGATGGGGAATGGGGGCTGTGGTCAGTTTATCACATGTTGTCTGTGCCACTCCTTTCTCCTCAGGTTGGGAAGACTCT